TATATATATATGCTTTATTCATGGGGCGAATAGAAGCGAATCAGCTAATCATAACTGCATATAACATATTGTTACAATACTCTCATATAAAGAAACTTTTCGAAATATCCACGTGCTGAAATCGATCAATTGAACAAAAGGTTTCGATGGTTTTCGATGATAATCGATACACAAATTAAAATCCCGGCTTTTTGAACACCACTCCATCCATAAAGGCATATTGAAAAGGAGTAAATGGACAATACATTTCCGCAAGTTTCTCTTGATCTCATTTTTTCAATTTTGAATTTTGGAACCTAAATTTTGGTCGCACAAAAAAATAAACATTTCGCCAGTCATTTCCCAGTAGAGATTCTTCTTTTCCTTTTTAAATGTCACAAAAAGAAGATATTCAGCTGTAAATTTGTACCCGGAGATTTTCGGGTAATCAAATCTCTTTACCAGAATCTCTTTAACAGAATCTTTTTAACAGAATCTCTTTATCAGAATCTCTTTAGCAGAATCTCTTTACCGTATTGAATTGGAACCGTATTGGAACCGTGTTGGAACCGTATTGGAACCATATTAGAACTGTATGGGAACCATATTAGAACCGTATTGGAACCGTATTGGAGCCGTATTGGAACCGTATTGGAACCGTATTGGAACCGTATTAGACCTCTTTACCAGAATCTCTTTAACAGAATCTTTTTAACAGAATCTCTTTATCAGAATCTCTTTATCAGAATCTCTTTACCAGGAATCTCTTTACCAGAATCTCTTTAACAGAATCTTTTTTGTAAACTTTGAAACTTTGTAAATTTAACCAGATTGAGTCTGTCCCAGCAGGCATGTTTAATGTTTGAACAAGCTTTAAGCTAATTCAAAAGTTTAGGTCTATTTTTTGACTTACAAGGGATTGGCAACTGGTTGAGCCGACGAAATGCTATGCGATCTATACCATTCGACGCAGAATTTGATGCTGATTCCAAATATATATTCCGTTTTTGCTAAATGACAATCTGTCATCAGTTTTAAGCGTCTAAATTTTTGTTAGGACTCTGAAAATGTCGTCATTCGGTGACCGCCTTGTGAAGCAGGATCGGTGGACTCGTGGCTTAGTGGTAAAGCGTTCGTTTCCAGAGCGAGACCTCGCAAGTTCGGTCCAACGTTCGATTTTTCTTTGACTTTTTTTCAAGAACACTAGTCAGCACTTCTTGAAAAAAGCCAAAGAAAGAAAAAAAGGAAAATCCAAAGTGGGGATCGAACTTGAAAGGTCTCGCTCTGGAGACGGAAGCTTTACCACTAAGCCACGGCTTCAACAGCTCCAGTTCAAAAGGAAGCCTTTTGATGTCTCGTTCTGGAAACAAACTATACCACTCGGCCACGGTTGCATCGTGTTTGGTTCTCAAGGAGGCCACTAAGGCGCAAGGAGCCAAATGACCACTGGTAAAGTGGCTTAGTGGTAAAGCTTCCGTCTCCAGAGCGAGACCTTTCAAGTTCGATCCCCACTTTGGATTTTCCTTTTTTTCTTTCTTTGGCTTTTTTCAAGAAGTGCTGACTAGTGTTCTTGAAAAAAAGTCAAAGAAAAATCGAACGTTGGACCGAACTTGCGAGGTCTCGCTCTGGAAACGAACGCTTTACCACTAAGCCACGAGTCCACCGATCCTGCTTCACAAGGCGGTCACCAAATGACGACATTTTCAGAGTCCTAACAAAAATTTAGACGCTTAAAACTGATGACAAATTGTCATTTAGCAAAAATGGAATAGATATTCGGAATCAGCATCAAATTCTGCGTCGAATGGTATAGATCGCATAGCATTTCGCTGGCTCAACCAATTGACAATCCCTTGTTGGTACTAGAATCGAACAATTTGAGAGTCCTTTTGTAAAATCATTGTCATCAAATCATAAAATCATCAAATCGTGTAAAATCAAAATCAATCATCAATCAAATTTATGTTCTGTTCATTTCTGGCAATCTCTTTGCCTTAGATAGGTAAAAATGAATAAATGATTAGTGTTTTTTGAATGAATGACTCAAAGCATAGCCTTTGTTTTTGATCCGAAAAAGGCTATTCATATTTGGCAAATGTTTAGATCACTTTTCCCCTTTGTGATTCACAATTTTCCCCTTTCCTTTTCGTATTCTCATCGATATGTGCCGAAAACGAAAGAATTTTCTCTTTTTTCTTTCATTTTTTATCACCATTTCCTTCTCCTTTTCTTTCTCCTTTTTGGAATCTTTGACAAGCAGTTTGACAAGCATTTGTCTTACCGTAATCTATGCTAAACTTTGTCTCACCGTAATCTATGCTAAGCTTTATCTTACTGTAACTTATGCTAAACTTTGTCTTACCGTAATCTATACTAAACTTTGTCTTATCGTAATCTATGCTAAACTTTTCTTAAAACTTTGAAAACTATTTGAAACTTTATTCTTATTATTTACGCATTCTTATTTACTATTTTTGAAGCTGAGACAATGAAAATTTTAGAATTTCTTAAAAGAAATCTATTTTTTTAGATTTTTTATAGATTTTTCTATTTTCTTTAGTTGTTTCTACTTGATTTGACAAAAGAAAATCTTTAAATTTTAAAAGAAAAGTTAAAGAAAGCACTTGATCACTTGAAGATTTTGGTTTTATCACAAGATCACTTCAGCAAATCTCGCTCGATTTCCCGGGTGGCAAGACGAGCGATTTCGGAGCGCAGAACGACACAATTGGTCTCTTTCAACAGCACACAACAACGAGTGTTTCGTGCTGAAAAAGAAGAAGCCGTTTACGCTCAGCCACTCCCGAGACGCGCGCATAGTTTGCATAGGTTTGAGAGATGGAAAATCAATTTACAATCAATTTACAATCAATTTACAATCAATTTACATAAAGCTACTTTTCAGCACGAATCGTCGTGGATGGGATGGCCACGTCGGGATGGATCAACCAGTGATCGCCAAGGCAGCCAGCTCTTTCGACGTGCACGAGGTGCCGAATGTAAGTAAATTCAATTCTATTTACCATAATCTTTTGTATTTTATCTTAAACATCGTAATTCTTCGATTTCTATTTCTAGATCCCTGTTGGTTTTGTGAGCAAAAGAAGAGCACTTTTCTCGGCATCAGAAACGCCAAATTTTCACCGAAGTGACATAAAAATGGTACCATTTCAAAGCTAGAATATCGTCTTTTACAATTTTAACATTTAGATCTTTAAGGCTAATCTTTAAGGCTAATCTTTTAGGATCAAATGTTAACTGAACGCAAATCGTACATCGTGGTGAAAGCTAGTCAAGATCGACCGAATCTCGTGTCGACGCCAATTATCGGTATTTGGTTTTGATTGATTTTACGAAAAGATCCCTACTACCATACTCGATTTCTAAGCCTCAAATATTCGATAAGCTTTGCGTATTGTTTTGCAGCTCCTTTCATACATTTCAGCAGCTCCTTTCATACATTTCAGCAGCTCCTTCCATACATTCTGGAAGAATCTCTCGGCTCTCACCTCCACCACAAAGTAGTCTTCAATCGAGTCCCCTGTCAATGGTGATGCGATCGGATCATGAGGTTCAATGGATTATAGTATTTGAGAAATCGATTCCATTTCTCAGATTGATCCCCCATCCACATCCATTCACACTCCGCAAACTCATCCAAGCGCCGTTGTCACCACAATCCCGATCGCCATCGGGAAGCCCGTCAGAACTCAAGTGTAAGTGCTTCAAGTCAGCTAAAATGGCTGTGTTCCTTTTGGTTGATTGGCTAAGAATCCTGTATGTTAGTCAGAAGGCCAGCGGGATTGATCAAGAGCTCAATCCCGCTGGCTAAATTGTTGAGTTTTTTGGAATCTATTTTTCTTTCCTACATTTAGGGTTTAGAGATTGTACTGTCTTGTTTGTACAACATTATTTATATGAATTTTTTTTATTTGCATAAGATTTAGATCATTTTATTAAAAGCCAAGAGTTTTAATGATCATTTTATTAAAAGCCAATAGTTTTAATGATCTTTTTATCAAAAGCCAATAGTTTTAATGATCATTTTATTAAAAGCCAATAGTTTTAATGATCTTTTTATCAAAAGCCAATAGTTTTAATAATCTTTTTATTAAAAGCCAATAGTTTTAATAATCTTTTTATTAAAAGCCAACAGTTTTAATGATCATTTTAGTACTCCTCAAACAATTCGCCCAAAAGTGGACGTGGTTCGAATTGGTGTCACTCCGATAAAAGTCGAGAAGAGAAAAGATGGGAGAAAGAGTGCAAATCAAGAGATGGCAAAGCATGAATATGGAGAAGATCGAAAAGAATGGATTGCTGGTGGGTTGTAGAAGGCTGCAGTCGAAGAGAACTCACCTCAAGAGAAGAAGAGAACCCATATCCTAGTAGATATTTGTCAATTTGTTGATTGAATAGCTTAATCTAATCTATAATATGATAATGTTAAGGGAAAACAAATTGCTCTTGACTAGAGTTATTTTAGAGTTGAAACGAGACTTTGCTCCACCGCTTGGCCCATCAAATCGAAGTAAGTTTTCCAATAAACAATGTTAATTCTATCGTAAGTACTTGATTTAACAATTGTACTTGATTTAATAATAGTACTTCATTTAACAATTGTACTTCATTTAATAATAGTACTTGATTTAACAATTGTACTTCATTTAATAATAGTACTTCATTTAACAAAATATCCAATCTACAACAAAACAATCTACAACAAAACAATCTACAATCTAATAAAACTAAATTTGTTTTAGATTGGATCGATTCTGAGGCACAGAAACTTGTCATCGAGTTGGAAACAGCAAAAAATACGAATAAAAAGGTTTAGAAAGTTTTAAAAAAAGTTTACGAATAAAGTTTCCGTTACAAATCTTCGATATGTTATTAAAATAAACCTTAAACAAGAGTTTTAGCTTTACGCTGAATTGGCTCGAATTGAGAGAGAACGGAGAGAGTTGGAGATTGAAAAGGGTTTGGGTGATGCAAAAGCTCAAGCACTTGTAGCCTCAAAAATGGCTGGTGAGTGAAATTTTCCATAAAATCTTATAAACTATATAAAAAATAAGAACTAGAGATTGAAAAGGGTTTGGGTGATGCAAAAACTCAAGTATTTTTAGCTTCAAAAATGGCTGGTTAGTGGAATTTTGCTTAAAAGCTCATAAGGTATACAAAAAATAAGAACTCAAGCACTTGTAGCTTCAAAAATGGCTGGTTAGTGGAATTTTGCTTAAAAGCTCATAAGGTATACAAAAAATAAGAACTCAAGCACTTGTAGCTTCAAAAATGGCTGGTTAGTGGAATTTTGCTTAAAAGCTCATAAGGTATACAAAAAATAAGAACTCAAGCACTTGTAGCTTCAAAAATGGCTGGTGAGTGGAATTTTCCATAAAATCTTATAAACTATATAAAAAATAAGAACTAGAGATTGAAAAGGGAAAAATTAGGTGTACAACGGAAAAACAAGATTTGAGTCCTGAAACAATCAACTATGAGAGTGGCTACTTTGCGCGAAAACTAGACCATAAATTTCTTCTAAGCGAGCTAATCTTTATGCTTTTGATGTCATTTTGTAGATCTCAAAAAGTGCAACAAAATGACACCAAAATCATAAAGATTAGCTCAATTAAAAGAAATTTATGACCCAATTACGTAAAGAACGAAGAAAGAATAAGAACTAGAGATTGAAAAGGGTTTGGGTGATGCAAAAGCTCAAGCACTTGTAGCTTCAAAAATGGCTGGTGAGTGGAAATTTTGTTTAAAATAATAATAATAATACTTTATTCAAACGATAAAGTGAAAGAAATGATAGAGAAATGCACAGTGATACTTAATCATACAATACATACTGAAATCAATAAGCCAATTACTTACGGCAAAGAGCCACTAGATCTAAAGCATCGATACGTTTCTTGAATATGAAAAGCGACTGAATTTCTCGTATGTCGTTTGGGAGCAAGTTCCATAATCTAGCGGCTCTAACGGGAAATGAATTTGATAAAGAGGCATTGGAAGCAAAGGGAATTTGCAAAAGGAATCAGCCACTTCTGGGCCCTGACCGCGGTTTAAATTTGAAAAAGATCTCATAAAATCTACAAAAAATAAGAACTTAACAGATTTTCGTGTTTCTAGATGCAATTCAAAGGATGAAAACACCTCGAAATGATCTACAAACCGAAATTGTTTATCAAGAGCCACAAACATCGACTTATTCATCGACTTCAGCTGTGCAAAGCCCCGACTTTGTGCAACAAAATGAAACTTTAAAGGTTTAAAAGAGTTTTTATCATAAGTAAAAGCTGTATGAAATAAATGATAAAAATAAATGATTAAATTTTGTTTAAATTTAAAAATTTTTCTCATTTTTGGAACAAATTTATGCAAATTTTAGAGAAGAAAACTTCAAAATCGAGTGGAGATTGAGGAAAAGTTGAAGGAAACACGCAAACAACTATCACAAAAGGTAAAGAAAAGACATTGGTGTAAGGCATTTTTTTTTTATTTCGACTTTTAATACAACATTTTCAGTCACATTCATCTACAAATGCACCACTTGAGGAACGTTTTATTTACGAGGATCTTCCCGAATTTCGTGACAGCAGTTAGTCTTTGCTTTTATTTTAATCTTATTTTGATCTTATTTGAATATTTTATCTAATCTTATCTTCTTTTAATGCAAACGTCTGAATCTATTCAAAGGAACACGAAATAATCTCAACTTTTAGATACAATCAGTCCAGAGACGCCAAATGAGGGCAAGAATCGGCAAGAGAAATTGAGAAAAGAGGTGAGAGTTCATCTAATAGGCAAATACCAACAAATCAATGATTTTCTAATCACTAGATTAATCACCAGGCCTATCAGAAGGCCTATCAGAAGGCCTATCAGAAGGCCTAATCATCAGCCCTATCAGAAAATAGGCCAAAAACGTTAGATTTTCTTGAGTTTCTCCAGTAATACTGATTTTTTTCATCAGAAGTAAATCCATTTTATGAAAAAATTCTTCTTCTAACATAAATTCATTTGTATTTAGATCAAGATTCTCGATTTTTTTTCTACATTTTATTGTACTTTGTTTAACCACCGATTTATCAGTTATCTGTATTTGACTTTAACAAAACAGGCTACTTGTATGAAATCAAAGAACGAGAGCACATCAAAGTACTTTCTTTGGCTTCAGGCTTTAGTAAAAGTAAAATCCTACGATACCCCCATCCTATGGATATCCGCTTCCCTTCAAACGATCGTTTCCCAAGGCAATGAATGATTGACGATTTTTGCCGCGAATTTGTTTCATTCCTGGATATCCCTTGCGAAAAATAACGATTGTAGCCTTCCAATAGTCTCCTATAAAACCGTAGCAGTTGACGACAAACCATACCTTAAATACTACCAAAAATTTATCAAAAAAATTCGATTTTTTTTTCAACAAACACTTCTAGCTTCTAGCATAAGATTCAAAGCATAAGATTTAGTAAATCATTTAGATTCAGATTTAATAAATCAAATCAAATTAGGAATCAAACTAGAATTGCATTCGAACTCTTAAACTTAACTCTTAAACCCATTTTCTATTTTTCATTACCATTGAAAATAAGTGTATGGTATTGAATTTCAAAAGAAATCAAAAAAGAATCAAAAGAGAAACAAAAGAGAATCAAAAGCAAAAGAAGAGATTGGGCAAAAAGAAAGAGATTCCGGTTCTTCGACTTGTCTGCCTCCTTGTCCTACCCATCCAATCAATCCTCATCTTTTTTTGCCATCCCAATCATTTATTTGATTTGATTTGATCATAATGATCATCCTCCTTTTTCTCCTTATTCCTTTTCACTTTCAGCGACATGAATGTCGCTAATCTTTTTTCCCTTTTTCTTTCAAACCATAACCACTTTTATCGGTTTATAAGTGAGTTTTTGGAGTTCTTTTTGCTGATTTTGCTCGAGACTGACAAAGCTTTGAGTTCTCATTGTTTCAAAGAATGTTAGATGTTCTTGGCTTTCTTCAAATCCTCATTCAAATCCTCACTCAAATCCACATTTTTTTACTTTTCTACCAGATCTTTGTAAATGCGCTCCTTTTGGCTCGAATTACCATTTCATTCTTAAACCAAAAGCTTCGCTGTTGCTTTGCAGCCAAAAAGGCAAAAGAATTGGAGTCGAAGCAGAAGAGAGGAGTCGAACCCGGGACCTCTTTCTTCAGTTTGTTTGAGGGAAACACGCGTTAACCCACTCAGCCACGGTGTGGCAGATGGTGCAGTGCGAGTGCATTTGTCTTTACCCCGAACAACCCGGGTTCGACTCCCGAACGTTTCGGCACTTTTGTTTTTTTAGCAATTTAAAAACATATTGCACAAATAAATGAGATTCTAAGTCAAAATAACTATAGATTATTTATAAATAGAGTTATCAGTGCTTCAAGAAAACGTTAAATATTTGAATGGTTGAATTTTAAAAGTTTCTTCAGTAATCCTGATTTTTTTTCATTTTTCATCAGATATTTGTAAACTCCTTCTGACTCGAATTACCACTTTATTATAAAATTTCTATTTAAATAGGTACATTTAGAGTCCAGTGCAGTTACTTTTCCAATTTATTCTCATTTGGTTGATTTGGGTTAATTGAAAAAAAGCCATAGAATTGTAATAATTTGTAATAGCGAAAAGTTGTAAACAAACAAACAAACAAACAATTTCTCTACTCAATTTCTTTACTCAATTTCTTTACTCAATTTCTTTACTCAATTTCTCTAATCAATTTCTTTACTCACTTTCCTCTTCAATTTTTCTAATTTGGTAAACTTTATCAGTGATCGATTCCATTGAACAAAGAAAAACAAGAAAAAAGCTTTGAAAATCCAATAAATCTTATCCCAAATTACTGATTCTCTAAAGAAATTCTGTAAAAAAAAATCGTTTTATCATTGATTTTTTTCGAAATTTTCTTTTCAACTTTATAAAATCATTTGCTTTATTTAAAAATTCAAAACCTAAATCAAATTGTTTATTTCTTTTCATTTATTTCTTTTTATTCTAATTTTGAAAATAATTTGTGAAAAAAAGAAAAGAAAAAACGATTTAAAAGTAATCAAAAAAAACAAATCAAATTATTTTTAACCTAAAAGATTCAATTTTCTGTTTTGTTTTGTTTTTTATCGTTTACTTTGTATCTAAATCTAAAAGTTTCCGAGTTTTAATTTTGTTTAATTCACCTATAAAAAAGCTTTAAAGTTATCTTTCTAAAGAAAGAATAAAGAATTTCTTTTCTCTCTTTCAGAACGTCGATCTCCGAGGCGAGATGGCCGAGTTGCGAGCGGCGCTTGAAAGACCTCGACGATTCTACTCGATCAAATCAACAGTGCTGTTCGTTTCTCGAAAAGGGTAAATGTTTGGGAAAATCTATATATAGATATCTATATATAGATACTTTATTCAGGACCTGAGATAAAGTGCGCTAGATTTAAGATTAATACTCATCATTTCATACAAATAACACGAAAAGGACCGATAAAAAGCAACACGATATAGTATGTGTAATATATGGGTAGCATGGATAGCACAGATAACGTCAAGGATCAACTAGAGCTTCAAGATCAAGAACATCGACAGATAATGTATGGAATCTATGGATAGCACAGATAAATGTCAAGAGTCCACTAGAGCTTCTAGATCAAGTCAAATGGAAAATCCATTAAGTTTTGAACAATGACCACAGTTGGATTAATTGTTTAAGCTGGATTTACTTGGATTAAGCTTCAAGAACAAGAACATTGATAAATCATTTAAAAGTTTCGAGGCTATTGGACTCTCTCAAAACTCTGGGGTGTCGATTGCAATGCCTTAAAGCCGGTTTCTTTTCAAAGATTGGGTAATTGAAACGGATGAAATGATATGTGAAATTTCTCAATTATTTGAACAAAAAAATTGATTTGAAATGGATTACGGGGAAAAAGATTCATTTCTAAAAATAAATGATTGATTTGTCGATTTTTCAAAACTTTATCTCAAATTATTATTGTTATTTTGATGTTTACATGATTTAAGGCAAAGTTTTTTTTATATTCTCTTTATTAAGTGTACTTTATGCTCACAAAAATATTTGAATAAGCCCTTTCTAGCGGTATTGAAGCTTGTTTCTGAATTGAATTGTCAAATGAAAACAAAAGAAATATATGAAGCTTTCTAGAGCTTGAGAGCTTTCTAGAGCTTGAGAGCTTTCTGAGCTTGAGAGCTTGCCTAGAGCTTGAGAGCTTTCTAGAGCTTGCTTTTAGACCTTTAGAGCTTTTAGATCAAAAGGTAGACTTTAAAGGGATTATTGGTTCGATTATTTCATTGTAAACAAGCACAAGATAAAAAAAAACATTGTCTTTTTTACAGTTCACTTTTCTAGAGCTCTTCACCTACTCACGAATCTCTTGGCTCGTCGATCTCCTGATGAGAATGAGTTGCACGAGATGAGCGCACACTCGACAGAGGTATGTTTTAAGTTTTAGTTTAATTAGCAAATTTAAAAAAAAAGCTAGGCTACCACTCTTCGCCATCAAATAACAATTCATGAGCAATCGTTGAAAAACAAAGAGTTGCTGATTGCGAGATTGGAACGCATTTGGTCGATGCACAATCTTGTGTAAGTGTTGTTAAGTCAAACTTTTGGTTGATTGATTGATTGATTGATGATTGATGATTGATTGATTGATTGATTGATTGATTGATTGATTGGTGATTGATTGATGGTTGATTGATTGATGATTATTTGATTGATGATTGATGATTGATTGATTGATTGATTGATTGATTGATTGATGATTGATTGATTGATGATTGATTGATTGATTGATTAATCGATTAATCGATCAATCATCAATCAATCAATCAATCATCAATCAATCGATTGATTAATAAAACTTGATTAAAACAAAACCAATGATAGAATTTTCATTTCAGAATCAAAAACTCAACGCTCAAATGGGCTCGTTGGCGACAAATGGCGCGGCGACGATTAAGAAAGAAATTGTCGAGTTAAAGGTTGGTTTTGTTTAAAAGAAATTTTAAATCTATTGAACTTAAAAGAGACTGTTTATTGTAAAGAATTTTCTACAAAATTTTTATCGCACTTGAGTTCTCCATTCAAATTTCTTTTGAAGCTAGTAGTCAGAGATGTCGGCGATGATTGCCTGAAAAAGATTTGTTGAAAGAAATTGCAAACTATTTACAACTTCTACAAAGTATCAGTCTTTATCTAGTCATTGGCTGGATACTGTAGCTTAATCATCTACAAATTTTATAGCTTATTAGTATCGTAAAGCACTAGTGGTTTCATTGTGCCTGTGCCCATTGTACTCATTGTACTCATTGTACTCATTGTACTCATTGTACTCATTGTACTCATTGTACTCATTCACCTGTTCCACCACTCTGTACATCTTTTTCCACATTTGCTCAACGTTTTCATTCACCTTCTCCCCGCCAAGCACTCTTCTAAGCATTTTCGATAAACCTTAAAATCTTCACCTATAGTAAACAACTGTTCAAATTTCAAAGGCAAATCTCTTCCCAATTCCACAAAATCCTCACCATGTTGAACGGCTTTTCGTAGAAGTGTTGGACAAACATCAAGTAGAAGACATTGAACAACATAATTTCTAGAATATAGAATATTTTTGCATTATTGAACGAAAACCTAATAGCTCTATAGCTCTATAGCTCTCTAGCTCTCTAGCTCTATAGCTCTCTAGCTCTATAGCTCTATAGCTCTATAGCTCTCTAGCTCTATAGCTCTCTAGCTCTATAGCTCTCTAGCTCTATAGGTGTTTAGTTTTGTTCTTTTGAGGATTCTCATCGAAACTTTCACACCTCAACAACTCGGGTAATCCCATGAAACCCTCAGTATGCGTCCATGATTCAATCGAAAGGTTGAAAGCCTAGATGAAAATTGTAAATAGATAAAATTGTAAATAGATAAAATTGTAAATAGATAAAATTGTAAATAGATAAAATTGTAAATAGATTAAATTGTTAATAGATTAAATTGTAAATAGATTAAATTGTTAATAGATTAAATTGTTAATAGATTAAATTGTTAATAGATTAAATTGTAAATAGATTAAATTGTAAATATATTAAATTGTAAATAGACTAGCGTCAATATGCTCAAATCTTTTGGATCAATTTCTACCCTAATTTTAGCTGTATTTCCTCGATAAATTCTAGCAAAAACCAACTGTGATAGACAAGGTTGAAAACGATCTTAAAATCAGACTTCAGACTTAAAAGCGATCAGACTCGTGCTTTAAAGCCTTTCCCCACCGTCATTGTCATTGTAACAAATTGCGTTAGGATTTCTGGTTCTTTCTCCATCTCTGGCATTCGATTCTCCAGGTTGAACTCCTTGATCAAGTACTCGTAATGCTGAATTTGTTTTGAAAAAAATGAACTCGAAATAGACTTTAGTCTAGGTGAATTCTAGATGAATTCTAGATGATTTCTAGATGAATTCTAGATGATTTTTAGATGAATTCTAGATGAATTCTACATTTTTCATACCTCAATCGCCTCTTTGCACATGAAAAGACCGGCTTCATTGAGACCGAAGTCGACCACCTAAAGCCAAAGGAGTTGGGCACTTTTTTTTTAACTTTACTTTACAGCTTGAGCTTAGGCTTTACAGCTTTAGAGCTAATTAAAGTGAGTGAAGTGAAACGAAAAGCCATTTATTTTATCTCCAAATCTTCCTCTCACCAACCATCTCCCAATTTTTCTTTAGCTGCTCGATCTCGGCGCCAGTGATCGCCATTTTGAGGTAGTTAATGCGTTGAATGGCGATCCCTTCACTGATACGAGTTTTGATCTCAGAAAGGAACTAGAATTTGCATAAAATAATGATAACTTATATTCATAGAAATGAAATTAAATAGAAATTAAATAGAAATTTCTTTCGAAAGCTTTTTCCCCAACCGTTTTCCACGAAATCTCCGTTTCCGAATCCATTTTGCTCACTCCGACGCACTTTTTTCGGATTGCCTCAAGGAAAGCACTTTGAAAACACTGGAATTTTATCGAAATTATTTTATAAATGATCTTTAACCCTGTTTCTACTGAAAATTCACCTCAAAATGCGCTTCAGTTGCATCATAAAAGAAATGATGAGCACCGATCTCATTCAAGAGTCGACTAATGCTAAAATTGCTAAAATTCCTCATTGAAAAATCGATTTTTTTTGAATTGAAAGTATCAAAAACATTAAATTTGACCTTAAAATGGGCAAATTTCAAGAATAGAACCCAATAGAACCCAATGATGCCACTATACATGTACCATCTACGCTAGGAATCCGCTTGAAAGCGATCCTTAAAATCAGACTTCAGACTTAAAAGCGATCAGACTCGTGCTTTAAAGCCTTTCCCCACCGTCATTGTCATTGTAACAAATTGCGTTAGGATTTCTGGTTCTTTCTCCATCTCTGGCATTCGATTCTCCAAGTTGAACTGTTGTAAATAGAATGGTTTTCAAAACCAACAAAAATTCCCCATTATTTCCCATGATGGAATTTGGTGTATCGTGTAGTCGCGCTGAATCTACCAAAAACACCATCACTTCATAACTCAACAGGTTTTCAACTTTTCAAAATCTCACTTCAGATTCGGAATCAGCGAAGTTTTTTACCCTAGGAAATGAGAGTTTTCAGTCCACTAACTCAATTCCCCGAATAAAAGCCTCAAACGGACAGACGGACGGACGAGCGTCATTATATATAGTAGATAGACTTGGCGTCATTATATATAGTAGATAGACTTGGCATAGACAAATTCCTAGCCCGATCTAATTCTATGCCTCGAACGGACAGACGGATGGACGAGTGTCATTATATATAGTAGGATAGACTTGTCATAGACAAATTCCTAGCCGAATCTAATTCCACCGTCGTTTTCTCGACCGTTTCTTAGCCGATTGCTCTGAAATTATATCTACATATAGAAATCGAAATTTTCAGAGAAATTCCCCAAGAAACAGCCGAGAAAACGAAGATGGATTCAGGTTTACATCGAAATCCTCCCATGTCTACGATAAAATTCAAGCTCTCACCTCCCCGACTCATCCTTGTGCTCCATAAGCATTGTGAAAGCAGCTTGAATCGCTGTGCAGTGATGTCTAAACGTTAAGAATGTTATTATCTAGTCGAAGGGTGAATCGATTTTTTGATCAACAATGAGAATTATTCTTGATTGAGAATGTGTTTACTTGAAATACGCGTCCTCGCACAATCGTTTCCCCCAATTCCCGTCAGTGGTCTCGATTTGTCGTCCGAATTGCCAAATCGGTCGCAAATGTTTATAGTTTTTGAGTAATTCAAGAAATGTTTGCTGGATGACAATTGTCTGCAAT